CCCAATCCCTGTAGCCGATCCTAATGGAAAATAAACATCCAGTGCACGGATGTTATGCATTTTGTGTTGATTTTAATTCCTGCATAGCCTAGTATGGGACGCACCTCATCCATCATTCTAGTGTAGGATTAGCCAAACTCCGGCCCTCCAGCAGCGGTAAAGCTACAAATCCTGTTATACATCTGCCTCTGGAAGTCATGCCTGTGACTGCCAGTCTTGCAATGCCTTATGAAACTTGTAGTTCCACAACAGCTGGAGGGCCAAAGTTTGCTCCTGCTATAGGCAATAGCAATTTATCACGGTTGTCTATTGTCTTTCAGATCAGTGCAGAGACGAACCTTATCCACCCAGTAGGGATGGAGCAGAATCTCACTTTCCATACCAGTTAACATGCACAAAGTCTCACTTCTAACTTGCCAATGGACAGAAAAGTGCAATCATCTATTAGTCCTTATCACACCTAATGCTTAACACACACATACATAAAAGTAGCAAGAGGGGCCAAAAGATGGTCTCAGAATGATTGCTTTCAGTCACACTGGGCTGATGGGTAATGTTCCCAACCACTACTGCGTAATAATTTATGGATGCAGCTAATTAAACAAATGAGTGGTAAATCTGCACTGGATAAAATCAGAGCTCTGACATGTGACTTGAAGGACCCATGTATACCAGACAAATACGTGTACTGTGTTTATAAACAGCTGAAAGCAATCCTACAAGGATCAACTATTTTTACAAAGAATAAGTACACAGAAATGCAGAAAGTCAAACAGTGGACATCAAGACAAATCACGGCCCTATTTCGGGATGTTTCCCAGAAGACCATTTGTGGGAGTGCGGTCTTTCTAGCAAATCTATACTTAAGGTGCCCATACACCTTACGATTATCGTGCGATAATCGTATGCGATCGACTTTTCGTACGACAATCGTAACGTGTGAATAGAGTGCGACTTTGACGGTCAAGCAAGTTTGAAAACTTTGGTCGATCGTACGATGTTTGCATGGTTGGTGGCGTTTCCATCCGTCAAAAGTCGTACGATTAATACTGCGCACGCGCAAACGAAAATGATTACGGTTAATTACCGCAAGTCGTCCAGGTGTTTTTTTTTTTAACTACCGCTGATTGAACCTTGCAATAAATTGGGACAGGATGGGGCTGTCGTACGAAAATTGTACAACGGTTCGATCGGACAAAAAGTTTTGTCCGATAATCGTAAGGTGTATGAGCGCCTTTACACAGATCAGCCATAACATTATGACCACCGAGAGGTGAAAGGAATAACATTGATTATCTCGTTACAATGGCACCCGAAAGTGGGGGGGATACATTAGGCAGCAAGTGAACATTTTGTCCCCGAGGCTGATGTGTTGGAAGCACAAAAAATGAGCAAGCGTAGGGATAAATTGTGATGGCAAGATGTGGAATGTTCCAAGTCTGCAGTGGTCAGGACCTACCAAAAGTGGTCCAAGGAAGGAAAATTGGTGAAGTGGCAACAGGGTCATTGGCAGCCAAGGCTCACTGATGCACATAGGGAGCAAAGACTGGTTCCAAAAGGCATCTGAACACAGTGCATTGCACCGGTCAGGGTGCCAACGCCTGCAACAGTATTCCCTAATGGCAGTGGCTTCTTTCAGCAGGATAATGCACCCTGCCACACTAAAGGTGCCCATACTCCTTATAACCATCGCAAGACTTTTGTCTCTCTTGGACAGGCAGATCATACTTGCGATCATCGAAAGCCCACCCTGCTCAGGGGCGGGTTTCCGATGACTGCAATGCTGAACGGGCAGTGTGCGCTTGCGCACACAAGCCCGTTCGGCATTTGTCTTACTAGCATGTCACAAACCTGCCGACAATCGTACGATTCTCTGCGGGTTTTGAAACATGCTCGTTAGACAAAAGACGTGCGACTGTACAGTAGAAACAGTCGCACGTCTTCCATACAACCCGCTAATCGCAAGGTATATGGGCACCTTAAGAATGGTTTGAGGAACACGAGTTTGAGGTGTTGACTTGTCCTCCAAATTCTCCATATCTCAATGCAATTGAGCATCTGTGGGATGTGCTGGAAAAATAAGTCTGAACAATGGAGGTCCCACCTCGCAACTTACAGGTTTTAAAAGATCTGTAACTGATGGCTTTTATGAATTTAAAGCAAACATGTCCTCCTCAAACCAAAAGAAAATTGCATTCCATTTTTTAGGAGTTTTCTAAATGAAAACATCCTCCCTACCTGTACTGCAATTCTAACTTTTGATCATGACATCATCAGCTTTATGTCTCTGGACTGTCAGTCCTCACCTGCTCACTAGTGGTGTCCATGACGGGAAAAGCAATAGGCTCACTTGTGTAGACATCTATAAGCCCTGAGACTGCTGCTGAGCCCCGCTATCCTGATGGTCATGTCAGCAGTCCCAAGTGACACTATAGTCTTACCCTAGCACCTACATTAAACATTATGTAGTGAGGAGAACAGTGGGGTGGAGAAGCTGGGCCAGCACAGAGAGAAATTAGACTCTCACAAAAGAGGGAAGGGTAATGACATCCAAGGAGGGAGAAGGCTGTGCTAAGGAATTGACTTTTAAGTAGTCAAATTTCTAGCACGTTAACGCTTTGCTAGTGAACACAAAAATTCTTGATGGAATGGAAAAGTGCTTTTAACCTGCAATTTTTAAGTTGGTGACAGTGAATCTTTAGGTACAGTATAGGATTTTGCCAGCTACAGACATTTTTTCTGTCGATTTGGTGAAAATTGTTTTTACGCTGTTCCGTTATCCCATGCTCGTCTTAGCCTGACCCCATATTGTACCAGAATAGTAATTAACACTACCTGTCAATACAGCAAGTGAATAAGCACCATCATGCATTCAAACATGCAGCTGCTCTCCAAATGCAACTGTTTTCTTTATCTTTCCGCAGTGAGGGAGCAGCTACTATCACCCAACATCCTCACATACTAGGAGGGGGTTTAATAAATAGTGCCCGAGAAACTCGGGAGTGCAGAAGCGCAGCCAATTAGCTTATACATTTTCATTTTGTAAGCTGTTTGGCAAAATGAAAGACAGAAGCTGATTGGTTAATACGTGCAATGGCACCAATAATGATAGAACTTGATAGAGATTCCTCCCGATGTGTATACATTCACTACCCAATACCATGGATGCTGCTGACTGGCACTGCTGATCACCTTAGGTAAATCACTTTACTGCATCATAGGACAGGTCTTGGCTCAGGACTCGTGCCTTGCAAAACAGCAGTAAAAAAAGACGAGTTTTCAAAAGGCATCCTTGGAGAATATCTGACAGCAGTCTACAGAAAAGCACACCCAACCTGCAGCATGTAGCAACTTGGAAGCACAGTGTCAAACACTTCAAAACCAACACTAAAGTGTGCATCAGTCTGTACTCCATTTCAGAATCCAGGTGGTCTAAAAACCCTCTGCTATAAAATAATGAGGTACAACCCTACCCAGAAGACCAAATTCATTTCTGCACAAGGGCATGGATGTCTCTATGCAGTAAAACTTAAGAGATCTTCTAACATAATGTAGAAAATAGTAAGTCCCTCTGCACTCCCGGCCCAAGTACTTGTAGTGGTGCTCGCAGTGACAATCACGGATGACACCGTGCAACAAACAGTGGAAAGCAGAAATCACCAGCACTCAGTAAATATCTTTGATGTCCATTTATATCGGACCAATCGTCAATTGTCATGTACAAAATAGCGACGTTTTGGGACCGCACAGGATCCCTTCATCAGGTTACAAGTTACAATGTATTTCACATATAAAAGGCTAAGTAGAGTTACTTAAATTCTGTTTTTTATACAGTAATTGAACTTCCTACACCCAAAATTATAAATTATATTAAGCTCAGCTCTAAGTAACATTCTCCGCAGAAAGTCTGCAGTTAATTCCCTTTTTGACGGGTTGTAATTTATGCTTCAACCACAGATTATTTTTTCCCCTCT